ATATAATGTTTATAGTTTTTATGTTTGAATGGCAATTTGGTTAAATTAAAGTATAATTAAATCTTGCCAATTAAGTAGTAACTTAGATAACATAAATGTTGGTCAAATTTTTGAATATTACAAATTCGAAAGAATTTAAATGCATAATGTTTTCTTAATATAAGCTAAATAGATAATGGTTGGAGGTTAAGAGCATATTAGGAATTGAATAAGTATAATTAAATCCTTATTATTATTAGTCTAACAAAAAAAGTTGAAGTGTTTATTTTTATATTATATGTTATTTTATAAAAAAATATTATAATTGAAAGAAAATTATAATGAGTCATTTTTTTTCATTATTTTTTCAAATAATAATTGTTAGGATTTATTTTTTTTTCTTTCTTTTATTAATTTTAATTATAAAAAAATACATTTATTATTGTTTTTCTTTCTTTTCCTTTAATTTCTTTTATTAATATTTATCCACGTGGTAAATTTGCTCTTTCTGTTTCTCTGAAGCGCTTGGGCCGTTACCCATTCATGTCCACAACCTATTATCCGTCGGGTTTAGAGTGACCCGTTTCACTTCTAACCCTCTTTTTAATATACTTGTATTTGATATATCTGGGTAGGACTAGTAAGAGGCTAAGAGCCCAGCCAAACCGCTTTGTAGAGTGAGGCGCGTGATCATTAATCTTTGTCCTTAAAACGCCAATATTCTGGAAGTCTCTTATCAATAAATAAAACCCATTTTAACAATCTAGGGTTTTTATCTTCTTAGACATCTCGAGTCTCAAGCAGCCCAAACCTTGTGGTTTCAAAAACCCATTATTTCTCAAAGGTATAATCTTTTTCTTTCTGGGTTTTTTTATTAGGAGAAATTGGTTGCAGGAATTTAAAGTGGTTTGTGTTTTGAGAAATTTGAATGCAGGAATGGCTACATCTCAGCTAACAGTATCATCAGTGACGGTATCAGCAAGGAACTTTGCTTCATTTGAAGGGCTGAGGCCATCCACTGTGAAGTTCTCTTCTTTTGGAACATTAAAGGCTGGGGCTTTCACCCCGAGGTCCTTCAAGGGTTTAGTTGTAAAAGCTGCTACCGTTGTTGCTCCTAAGGTAATTCCTGTTATAATTTTATTGATGCTGTTGTTTTGTTGTTAATGCGTAAAGTTTAAATTTTGTGAACTAGTTTTTTTGCGATTGTTTTTCATTCATGTTAAAGTTGTTTGCTGTTGACTAATATAGTTGTGATGCGACTTTGCTTCATAATTCTTGCTATTGTTTTGTGGGTATTTCTCAAACGTTAAAGCATTGTTGGAGTGATTAAGTTTAGATTGAAAACTTGAGTAGGGCAATTTACAGAAATTAGGGGCTTTTGAAGCATGTTAATATTTTCTTTCCTTGTGTATTCTAATGTTTCAATTTTTTTTACCTTGAATAATACGTGGGTTGAACTGCTTTGTATGCATTTTCTATTTTGAACACATTCAATGAATTAGACTTGACAGGAATTTGTTGCTATTGGCTTGTAGGTGCTCCCATAATAGATAAATTTATGTACAATTGGTGTAGCAAAGCTGATAATTTCCATGATCCATGCGCCATAAGTTTAGATCCTTTTCTGTATACTGCTTTTGCTTACATGACATGGTCATATTCTTTTTACAGTACACTTCGATTAAGCCCTTGGGTGATAGAGTGTTGGTGAAGATCAAAGAAGCAGAGGAGAAGACTGAGGGTGGCATTTTGCTTCCAACAACAGCTCTATCAAAGCCTCAAGGGGGTGAGGTGGTTGCTGTCGGTGAGGGGAAGACAATCGGAAAGATCAAATTGGAAAGCTCTGTCAAGGTGGATTTCAAGGAGTAGATATTCTTGCCACTTGTTCTATTTGTTACATCATTATTATACTTACACAATGCTATGCTTGTATAGACTGGTGCCCAGGTCATATATTCCAAGTATGCTGGAACTGAGGTTGAGTTCAATGGTTCAAATCATCTTATTCTGAAGGAGGATGACATTGTTGGGATTATTGAAACAGATGACATCAAAGATCTCAAGCCTCTGAATGACAGAGTTTTGATTAAGGTCTGTTATCTTTTCAAAATCTGTTAGTTTGGTTGCTACTGCATTGTTGTTCTGCTAAAGTTTAGATTAATAATCTGAGAAATCATGGATTCCTATTTATTTGGTTGAATCAGTTCCTTTTTAGTACCCAAAGTGTTTGTTATCTCTGAAAGAGTTTGCTACTGGGGCCTTTATTTTTTTAATTTAATGTCATGTTACGGATACTGCAGTCATACATGGATTTTGAAGGCACTCAATGTTATGTTTGGATGTTGATTGCAGGTTGCAGAAGCTGAGGAGAAAACTGCTGGAGGTTTGTTGCTGACAGAAGCAAGCAAGGAAAAACCTTCCATTGGCGCGGTGAGTAAAAGTTATAAGTTTGTGGGAACTTGCTGCAATGGTACAAAATGCATTACTTATTTGCTGCATTAAATGAAATAGGTGATAGCTGTTGGACCTGGTACTTTGGATGAGAAAGGTAACAGAAAGCCACTTTCACTTGCCCCAGGAAACACAGTTCTATATTCCAAGTATGCAGGGAATGACTTCAAGGGCAGTGATGGTACTAATTATATTGCTCTGAGAGCATCTGATGTAATGGCTGTGCTCTCTTAGTTGTCTAATAAGATGTGCATAAGGTGTACAACTGAATTTTATGGATGAGTTGCCGTAAGACACAAGGGTTTTGTAATTTTTTTTCTTCAATTTAAATTATCGCAGCTTTGTTGTCCCTTGTCTAATTGTGGGCAATAGGTGGGGAACTTTGGGTGAAAAACTAAGACGGTTGGGCACAAAGGTTCAAAATATATTCACGCAATTTGAAGTTTTATACTGTTTCAGAAATTGTTGTAGCTACCGATTAATCCCACTGATTTCATGACTTTGGTATATGATGTTTCAGAAATTTCAACATCGGTTAAATCTAAAAATGAATATGATGCTATATATTTTTTATTGACTTTGGTATTTTAGTTTAATACTATTACTTGTTTACATATTAATAATACACAATAAAATCATGACACGTGACAAATATTTAATTATTGTTATATTATATATTTTTTACATTAGTATTTAAATAAATTCAAATTTTTTTAAAAAATGTATTTAATTGAAAATTTAAAAAAAAAAACTAGAAAGAGAAAAAATTAAATTTTTTGCTAACGTGGTAATAATAAAACATTTATAACATGTGGTATAATTTTTAAATATTTGTACCACATTAGTCATTTAATTAACAATAACAATGTGAAGTGAAATATAACTAATAAATAATTAAAGTATCAAAATGTTAGATGGAATAAAATTTGAAGTATTAAAAAAAAGTTTATTTTTCTAAATACCACACTTGCAAAAAATGTATAGTTACACGAGGCATTTTACATGCTACCCTTTGGCCAGTACGGGAATTCATTGAATTTTTCTTATTTCGACTTTTTAAGTTTTGAATTTTTGTTCTAGAGAAGCAAGAATTTCTAGGTTAATTTTCATTTCCTGAAGGTATAACTTTTACTATGGTGCTGAGGTTTCTTGTATTTATCTCTGACAAAGGGTTTGGCAATGGCAATCCCATCCTTAACTGCTGATAAATTTTCAGAGGTCTCTTCATCATGTTGGAAAGCTGATGCCAAACTCATTGCATGGACTCACACTAGCTTTTCAGATACAATGTGAATGGGGTATTCCAACAGGCAATCTGAAGCATTTGTTGATTGCTTGTGCTAAACCTCTCTCTGAAAATGATATGAACGAATTTGGTAAGTTGATTGCGTAGGCCGGTGGTGATGTGTCTATCTGAGAACCAATCCAGCGCCTTGGTGCTTACATGGTGGAAGGGTTGGTAGCCAGAGGAAGGAGGCATCAGGGTCTGACACATATCATGCCCTTCGTTGCAGAAAGCCTGAAGGTAAAGACTCGCTTTCCCACATGCAGATCATGTATGAAATCTGCCCCTATTGAAGTTTGGATTCTTGGCAGTCAATGGTGCCATTGGTCATTGTTGAAGCATGCAGAACTGAAGATCGCATCCACATTATCAAACTCCAGATTGCTCAGGGAACACACTGGATGACCCTCTTGCAAGCTCTTGCAGCTAGGCCAAGTGGAGCTCCTCATATCTAGATTACAGGAATTGATGATCCTGTTTCTAAATATGATCGTGGTGGTGGGTTGGAAGCTGTCAAGAAAGATGTTTGGCAGCACTATCTGAAAAGTTAAACATTCCAGTTGAGTGTCCTGGAATGCCAGTTTTTGCACTAGTTATCACAAGGGCCATGCTTGATGTCAGGCCTGGGGAGGTTCTGACTGTCAAACTTAATTTCCGGGGCAGCTCCATCACACCCCTGACAAGAGCGTTGATGTGAACAATCTGTGGGATGGGGTTCTATCAATGGTATTGTCACTTTCTCCCAAAGTTTCCCCATTGGTAGAGCAAGAATCAAATAGAAACACAGCCCCCTTCTTCCCCAGGTTCATAGAGATTCCAGATTACTACTTGGCAATGTTTTGAGCCAATAGACGAGAAACTGCCATGGGAGAGAAAGGAGCAGCACTACCTGGCAAGGGACATTGGGGCTGCCTTTTCACGTGGGGGAAAGGAGAGGATGCAGCGCCACGAGCTCTTTGGTAAGTGGATGTCTACGCTAACAATGGCTCGGATTTCGTTAGTATCCTTCGAGTTCTTACACAAATTTTGTGATAAGAAGCCTGCTGAGGTGTTTCTCAAAATACACCAGTGAAGGACGCTTGAAGGATAAGAGCCTTATATTGACTTCTGCTTGGCACTGTGACACCTGAAATTCATACGAAGGTAGTGTAGAAATAATCACTTCAATTTTTTTACAGGTTACAGATGACATATATAGCTTTGTCCTGTGCCACTGATGGACGATGACACTGTAGCGGTATGGTATCACTAAATTAGCAGAAAAAAGGGGGGGGGGGTGAGGGAAGGAAGCATGGCTGCAACATGAACAAAAATTGATGCTAATTGTATCTTAGGAGTAATAGCTACAACCACTACACATCTTGCGGATAATGTGCTCTACACCATAGCATTTACAGGAGAGAATGTCAGATGAGCTCTAAATATGGTTATATTATACATCTATGGTCCCTTGCCACCTGATCCTTCTGCACCCTACCTCACCATAGAACTAGCAACAAAGGCCAAAGTCAAAAAGCGTATGCTAAAGTTAAAACATGATATTCTTCTGCCAACTTCATGGCAGTGGTTTTAAAATTTAACACCTGCGGTCTGCACTCTTTCCAAAGGCTCAATCAGCCAGGATAATCACTTCTCATTGAAGGACTTGACTAAATTGTATCCTTTTCAGTGCATACACCAGATTCATTGATAAGCCCAGGCAAAGTCCAATGGCAAAATATATTTTGAGTTTGTTTTTGTATCTGAATTTCGAGAATTTATCTGTTAAATGAGACAGCTGAGGTATCATCATAATGACCTCTCCAAGCATTTCCGCTGTCAGTGACACTGCAAGCTTGATGGGGAACTGCCAAATTTCCAAGATCACCATCCAAGCTCATCTGCTGTACTTCAGCAGATGACAGTATCTTTACGCTCTGAACACAACTTAAAAATTCTCTGCAAAGAATTAGATATTACAAAGTTAAGAATAAATAGAGAGACCCAAAACTAAAAGTTACAGATAAAATTGGGGTTCTTCACTTACTGCCAAGGATCATCACCAACAAGTAATATGTCATTTTCATGATCCACGTAAACTAATTTCCAGTCAGAACCATGTGGATCTTCCAGCTGCCCCTCAATACCAAACATGCGGGCTAGATCTTGCCTGAGTTCGACATACCCTTTGTAGCGGGTCACATCAATTGATCTTCCTACAGAGCCACGCTTTTGCACCTTCATGAGTTCAAACCAGCGCCAAGAATTTAGAGTTTTTCAGCAAAAGAATAAAGAGACAGTTGATAATGTTATAATGATAGAAGGCTTTAACAAGTACAAGAAGTTCAAATTTCCCTAACATTAATAGGATACGAAGCAAGTCAAGGACTTGTGGATTAGGATATCAAGATGCAAATTTAACAAGTACGAGAAGTTCAAATTTCCCTAAAAATTAATAGGGTATGAAGCAAGTCAAGGATTTGTAGATTAGGATTTCAAGATGCAAAAATAAAGACTGAAGGTGAAATATCCGAGTGAGAATTTCAATTGCAACAGGAAATCTAAATAGTACAGAAAATTATCCATAATTCTTAGGCAAATATCATGAAAAAGATAAAACTTTACAACTCAACAATATATTACAGCCTTCCTCAGCAAGGTGAAAACAAGGGAAAAGCCATACAAATTGTTCTACAACATCATGATTTAGCTGAAACTACAAAACTGCCCTTGTAACATATATGTGACTGATGAAATAAAAAGATACTTGTTTATTTAACTTCAACTCATGTTTAGAGCTCAGAAGCTCTTGAGGTTAAAAAATCTGACAATACTGAATGAGATCTTCCTACTTTCAAGGTTCAAAAACTAAGTTGTCGCAAATTGCAAGGTTTAAAACTGCAACTGCTAACAAATTAGCTCTTGGCTCCACTGTGCCAGTTTAAGTGATGCAGAAAAGACTCCCCTCCACTCACACCCCAATCGGAACTACGGAAAAAATCTATTTTCACTTTTAAAAAAAATCAAAACATATCTAGAACAAAGAGAATAAATGAGGTAACAAGCATAACCATAATTAGTGGGGCAAAATACCTTTGTATATGTTCGCATGCACTGAGTTTGGTTGGGCCACAATCCACCGGTTAGAACTCCTGTCTCATTGATGGCAACATCATTTGAGCACCCAGTCTTGAAAGGTATGTTTGGCACACCAAAAGACTGAGAGCTTATTGCAGCCGTAGACAATTCTGTGTCAATATCTCTTGGATTGCCACCATAATTAGAAAGCAGGTTTTGAAGATCCTTTTGAGAGTCATATCCCCTTGATAACAAAGTGTCAGGTGGCAATCCATCAATATTAGCTGTAAAAGGAAGATTGTTCTGAGGATGTGATTGGACATCACCTTCCAGAAAGGTGGGGAGGGAGAAATTATGCTGGATGGTGCCTGCATCCAGGCAGTATGATGTTCCAGAAGAAGATGCTTCTAAATGATCTGTCAGTGTACTTTTGTACTTTGATTGGTCTGGTCCTTTAGAGGTGGACAGCTCATGTTTGGTTCGGATATCAGGCTTGCTCTGAAGCTCTTGAACAACAGTACTTGCAGGCTCAACAATCGGATCTGTCACCAATATGGATGGTACTTGCTCACTTCTGTTTAGAAAGTTTGAAGGGGAAACCTGACAATTATTGGTAGAAGGGGAGGTTGAACATGAAGGAGCATCTCCATCAGTAAGACCGGAATGGGTTCTCATTGCCATAAGTGGCTTGATCTGACTTTGGGGTTGGTTCATTGAAAGCTGTTGAGGTTGCATAAGCCCTGATGTTGAGAAGCCATTGCTGCCAAGTGGTTGTGGCTGGATCTGTGAAATAGGTAACTGCTGCAATGGTTGGTTTTGTTGATGGGTTGGCTGTTGCTGCACCATTGGGAACTGCAGAAGTGATCCAGCTGGGGAGAGTAATTGTTGAGACAACTGCTGCTGTTGCTGCAATTTCTGTAACAGTTGTAATTGAAGCTGTTGCTCTGAGAGGTCCTGCTGTGACAGTTGCTGAATCTGTGGCTGCTGCTGTGTCCTTTGAGACAGGCTTTGCTGCAACAATTGTACAGGTGACTGCTGCAACTGTGTCTGTTGCTGCTGCCTCTGAATGAGGTTGGGTTGCTGTTCCATCTGTTGCTGAATCTGTGTATCTTGTGCTAATGATGTCGAAGGATACAAAGTCTTATTAGCAGAGAGGATAGTTTGGGTTGACTGGCTATTGCTTGTCAGTAATTGTTGCGGCTGAAGCTGAGAGTAAACAGCTGGCAGATGCAAATTTTGATTTGTGATCTGATCAGGGGCAATGATGCCATTATTTACTTGAGCCGGTAGGAAGGCTTGTTGTTGCAGCTGCTGCTGTGGTTGTGGCTGTTGTCTTTGTTGTTGCTGTTGTTGTTGCTGCTGCTGCTGCTGCTGCTGCTGTGGAGGTGGTTGTGGCTGTGGCTGTGGCTGTGGCTGTGGCTGTGGCTGCTGCTGTGGTTGTTGTGGCTGTTGTTGCTGCAATTGCTGTTGGGATTGCTGCTGCTGTTGGTGTTGATTTAGAGGAGTCTGCAATAACTGCTGCAGTTGCTGCTGCTGGGGCCATGTCATAGGTGCCTGAGGCAACTGGTTGACTTGGTTTGCATTTGCTTTGTTAAATTGCATATTTGATGCAGGTAATACAGAAGCTTGAAAATTCAATAATTTGGAAGGATCATCAGTGCTAAGGTTATTATGCAGCGGATTCGAAGAAACCATTGATGGAAAGAATCCTGATTGAGCAGCTGGAAACTGATTATTTTGTTGCATGCTCATCCATTGAACTAAACTCAAACCAGGGAAGAATGAACTAGGGGCATCTTTCATACCAAAGTCATCTCCAAGCCAGGGCATAGCTCTCTTGAAAGCATTCTCAATATCAGATTCATCATCTGCAAATGCATTTTCAAAGATTAGAACTAAGTTCTTCAATTTTTCCTATTCTTTATCCATGTTCACTGCAAGTTATATCTTGTAAATATGATTTACCTGGCATCCCTGGTTGCTTGGGAAACCTGGGCCTGAAAAACGGAGGTGGACATATGTAGAAAGGAGTTACAACAGGCTCAATTTCCCAAATTGAAACTCGGCTGGGCCGTTCACCAGCTGTAGATTCATCCCATCCAACCTGTTGAGAATATAAAAGTAAAATGCCAAAATCGAAAATAATGTGGCCTTTTCTCCCTTAGCGACAATATTTTGACTTTAACAAAAATCAAGTATTACTTTAAAACTGTATGTAATGTGTATGGTGCAGCACGAAAGAATGTTGGACCAATGAGCAAGTCAGTTTAAGTGTTCACAATCAAATAACAAGACCAAAAAGGCATATGCTGAGATATCCCTCGCCAAGTTTACTTACATGTAAGGCCTAGAAGAGGACGATTTATGTAGCCATGTCCATATAATAGAGCAATGTATTATGAAGGACACAACATGATGCAACTTACTATTTGCATGATAAAAATGTGTTTTCCACTGAAATCATGTGATACATCTTCTGGAATAAAAATGCAAAAGGCCAATATGTGCATTCGTGAATGTTTTATCTCCAAAGAATACCTGAATATTGCGCCACTGTGAAGTTTTCCATCGCACAGGATCCAGGTCACTGATACCAGTAATTGTACCCATGTATCTGCGAACTCCAGAATCCTCAGTTTCAAACATCATTCTAAACCGCATACCAAGAGAAACTTGGGTATACACGGCTTTGTTATACTTCACCAAGGGTATCACAAACTCAGAAGGACTTGCCCTATTAAAATTAATAAAATCTTTTCAGCTATCAATATCTAACATTTTGAAAAAGAAATTTGATGATTAAATAATAACAATGAATCAAAGGACAACCAAAATATGTTATCGCAATACCTTGGATTGTAGAATATAGTAAATGGGCTGTTATTTGCTGCAGCATGAGCTGCAGCAGCAAGGATCCCAATATGCATGCTATCACTAGAAATCACTGATGAAGAGAGAGCTGACTGCTGTCTATTAGCGTGCCTTATACCCAAGAGAAGCTGTGACTTCTCATCTCTACATTTAAGCAAAAAATTCAGTTAAGCAGAAAAATGGACATCCATACATACATACACATGTGTGTATGTGTGTGTGTATAGTATTTGTGTGTATGTAGGTATATGAATCATACCTTATGAAAAGAACGGAATCACCAGCAAACAGTCTTTTAGTGCTAACAAAGACACTCCAACCAGTAGTCAGAAGGTGCCTCTTCGGTTGACCTGCAAAGAAGCCATCATGCATTTAGATATATTATTCTGTTTCTGACAGCAACTGCACTAATTAAAGAGACCACCATAATATGTTGAACAAAATGATAAGACTTACTAGTATAACCCTAAAGCATTAGTAATGAAGATTAAGTAAAATTTAAGTGATCACTGAAACTACCAAGCGTGCAAGGAATGAAAGAAATGGCATTCCTAACTCCCCACTTTCCAAAAGAAAATGAATTTATTTTATGCTCAAAAAGTTTTGAGTAGCAAGGAAGTTAATAAATATATTTAGGAAACATTAGTTGAAATAAAGTAAAGATTGCTCTGCAACATAAGACACTTTGATCAAGCTGCAGTCTTATGTTATAATACCAGTAGACCTCTGCTTGTGAAAGGGAAGAAGTGCAATATCTTGAAGAGAAAAGTACCTCGATAAATATGTCTAAATGTCCATGTATTGTCATGTAAATCTCTAGCTACTAGCTCTTGAGCAGGTGGTTGCATAGAAAAATCCTGATAAATATCATCATTTAGATCTAAGGAAAAATAGACACAAAATGCTTACATCACCTCTCATATCTTAAAATAGAAATCTAAATATTGAAAGTTTCTACACACCAGAGTAGGGAAAATCTTCTCAGCTGCTCGACGAGGCACAGAAAATCCACCATGAGTGCTAGTGTCACTAGCTGTGAGAGTCTTGCAAAAGAACTCAGCAGGTTGTCTGCTTTGCTTGAGGCCCATATCAGACACCAGTAATGCTTCCTTGTCATACTGTAGAGAAGTACTTTAAAGATTCTCCATATAGTTCATTAAATGTGAAAATTGAAGAGAAAAAAAGGAGGCAGTTCTGCGATATCCATTAATTACTTCTCAAACTGAATAGCTGACCTACTTTGTTTACAGGTTGAAGAGTCATCTGGGCATAGACCTCATCAGTTTCTGGATCAGCCTGATTCAAAATTTAAATAATTGAGTAAATTAGCAACTTCAAAGAATCATATAACTTTCTTGCATTTTGAGATCATTTCTGTCAATAACAAATTTATGTTCATACATATACTATCCAGGATCCCAATTCATATTCCAGTATGACTCAGTGCAAAACATAAACTTCGTACAAGTCCATGCAATCCAGATGAGCTCATGGATGCACCAAGTAGCTAAGCTAGTAAATGATTTGGCAATTAATGTAAACATTGTCTAACATAAGAAAAGTGATATCGTCAATCCAATGGTGCAGTATGCACAATATATCTTCAGATAAATGCACAAAATTCATTTAGGAACATCCTTTTTCCCTTCAATGACTTCAAGACAAAATTAAAAATTAAAAAAAAAAAAAAGAAATTTGGGGTAATGATGGCTTGCTTTTACTTACATGCAATGTGACGTTATGGAGCATGCAAATCAACTTGGAAGGAAGGTTAGGGTAGCTTGGTATGAAATCAGTCTCTTTTTGCATTGATGCTGCAACCTGAAAAAAATTATTAATTAGAGAAAATTCCATAGCAGACCAGATTCAGAAGCAGCTGTTCCTCAGGAATGAATAAGGAAAGCGACTCACCTGCTCGCTGTGGCCTTGAGGAAAGTAAACCACCAGACTTCCAACTGGCGGCAAAGAAACAAGTGGTCCAGCGCAAGCATGCCATAATTCTGAATTGATACTCTTCCTTTCTCCTGCTTTCCAAAACCAACCAGAATATTATCAAACAGACCACAGAACCACAAAAGGTCATAAAAAATTAAAAGCATCAACTACCAAAAAGTTCTCTATCAATATTCTCCAAAACTTTGATTGATAAACAAGGCAACAATTAACTTTATAGTGTCTCAAAGCAAGAAATCCCCAATTTTCTGGTATAAATAATTAGTTTTACTTTTCCAGCTCATAAAAAGAAAAAAAAAAGTTATCATAAATATTCTTATATAATATTAAGACTCCATATTTGGACTTAACAAGAGAATGATTGTTGCATGTTTTCTTTCTTAATTCCTCCCCTGTTTCACCTCCAATTTGCAAAATGATAAATGATCCCAACCCCAAACCTTCCCCCGTTAAAACGAGGAAAGTTGCCACTCAGTTATAATAACTTTTACTTTTAGTCTTGTTGCTTGCTTCTTTCTTATTTAATGAAAATGGGATTTTATAGGATATCTCAAACAAAGACATGACATTTTACATGAACAAATGTAGAGAATTAAAACAAAACCAAAACAAAATAATAATTTCTTTAAACCAACAATAACAATTTAGAGGGATCTGGATACTATAGGCAAAAAAACAAATCCATAAACAACTAAATATATACTAATGATTAAGAAAATCTCTCATTGCTTAAGACAAAATGACCTTTTTTGACCCAAAGGGAAAAAAAAAGAGCTGAAACAGAGTTTAAAGAAATCAAGTAAGAAAATCAGACCTTCAGCAGAATTTGCCAAAAACCCATTCGGCGGAGCCTTCATCTTACAAATTTGAATCAATTAAAAGCAAAAGAACTTTTCTTAAGGAATCCGATCAGTTGTTTTGCTCCAATAAAACACTGAAAAGATATCAACTTTGGTCACAATAAAGTTACTTCCACTCTTTTGGCTATATGAAACCGCAACGCTTCAAAAATTTTTCATTTTCGCAGCATCCCTTCGTTGGAAAATTACTACAGACGCGCTTGAGGAAACGCTGGTGATTGCATTCACATCCAAATCCCAAAGAAACTAAACCCTAACTTGAAGAGAAAACCAAAAGCCAAAACTTTGTTCTTTCCTGAGCTATTTTTCTCTTCATTAGCTCCGTAACAAGCTTTGATTAGTTCGGTATTTCAATCACATGAAGCATTTCCTTCGCCAAAACAGAAATCAACGTCGATGAATCGGTTTAAAGAATCCGAACCGTAGAGAAGTAACTGCACGGAATGTTAACAACCGGTTGCAAAACTGCTCCTCACTTGAAGCTCGCCGCTTTGGTTCCAGAATCCAACGAGAAAGATTTACCCAAAAAAAAAACTAAAAAAGAAGCAAAAAAAAAAACTTTAAGGGATCAAGCAGAAGTAAACAGACTCGTCGCCGGAAAATCAGAGAGACAAAGCCAAAGCAAAGCAAAACAAAAGCAGAGCAAAAATCAGCTTTCTTCTCTCTTTCTTTCTTTCTTTCTTTTTAATTTTATAATCTGTGAAACAATCCGACATATAATAGACTGAGGCTATCAGGCCTTGTCAACAACAAAGAAAAGAAGTAGGGAATTGTCTTTTTTCTTTTAACTTTTTCGATTAAATTTAATCGTTGCTCGTGGGGGTACTGTATCTTGATTCGATAATTTGTGTATTTATTTTTATAAAATATTAATATTTTTATATTTTTTTATAAAAATTATGTATATTTTTTTATTTTATTAAATTTATTTATAATTTTTATTAAACTTTTAAATTATATTATTTTTATATAATTTTATCATATTTAAAATTATCATATGTTATTCTACGGTTAAAATTGGCTACCAAATTTTCACCGGAGGAAAATCTTTCACCGTTTGGGTGCGCGCGTGGGTGCTTTGTGGGGGTGCGTAAGGCGCTCTCTTTTTTTTTTCCACTAAGGTGTTGCCTCTTTAGAGGAAAAAAATTTCTCTGCAATATTATATAATTTTATTCAAAAGTAAATAGTATATATTTAGTTAAATTTATAATTTTAAATTATAAAAAAATAAAACATAACTTAAATAAAATAATAAAAACCTTCATTAATTTTTATATAATGAAAAAATCCAAGAAGATAATTAAAATAAAATAGCTGACGGTGAATTTTCATTTTGTTTTTCTATTTTTTACTTTTCGAGGTAAGTTTTGTTTGGGGTTGGCGGGATTATGATCTGGTGTGTGCCAGGTATGGAAATATTCTTATGCTCAATGACGTGGCAAAGCACTTTGATGCCAATCTCCTGTTTAATCTATTTGCCCTTTTTATAATTATTGTCTGCCGTGGATTTGGCTTCTTTGTTGGTGTTGGGCCCACCAACTAAAAAATCATTTTGATAAATTTTTTATCATATTCCATTTGCGTCTTGATCAGGTGTTATTAATTTTTATAAAATTTAAGAAAATATTTTTAATTTTAATATATTTAATATTAAACTTAAAATTATATGATTTTTAATATCAAAAAATAAAAAAATCATTAAAATAATTTTAAATATTCAAAAATATATAACATAATTTTAGAATATACCAAAAAATAAGATGAAAGAAATAATTTTTTATAAAATATTTTAGATAAAAAATGTTATTTTTTTAAAAGCATATTATATATTTGATCCAAAATTTATATTAGATATATAAATTATCTATTGAGAAAACCGATTAATATGAAAAATTAAACTTAAATTTTATAAATAAAGTATTTAATTTTTATCAATTCAATCGATTCAATGATAAAATTTTTTTATAATCATTAACTGAACTTACAAAAATAATTAAATAAATATTTTTATATTCCATTATTCAAAGATGTAAGGTCATGTATATTTGAAAAAGACACATTCATTCATAGTTTAATAGTTTCCGTAAATGTGTATTCAAACAAGGAGAAAAAAAAAAGCATCATTATACTTTCAATTATAACTTATTTACTCGTAATATATTAGCTTCATTTAATTATGTGTTTAATATCCCTTCAACACATAATAAATATTATGGAATCAATGAAGCTTGTCATGGATAATACATTAGCTATGTTTTCATTATCAAGTCTTTTTTAACATGAAAGGTGATAGTAAGTAAAATTGTCAAAGACTTTTCATTAGTCTGAAATGAAAGAAATAATGTAATCTTTACTTAAAAGAAAGTTGTGGGTGTGACAAGTGGATTCTAAGTTTTTATTAATTATTCAAATTATCTAGCTTATTAAGATGTTACTAATTAAATTAAACCTGTTAACCACGTCATTAAATAAAAATTAACTTGAGTAGTAAAAGTAATACTAGATGAGAACAGATAAAGCATTAAATTACTTGTGAATAGGTTTCGTTTTTATTTGTCTATATTTATTTATTAAATTTAATAAATAATCACGAATAATATTTAAATATTTGTTAATTAAATAAACAAATCATGATATAGTAAAGTTTTTTTTTATATTCAATTCATTTTACATATGGAGATATAAATGAAAAAAGTATTTAACGAATAATTCATAAACAAACTCAATTTATATTCATTATTAAACTTAATAAACGATCACAAATAATATTTTAGAATTTGCTATTAAATGAACATATCATAAATATAAAAAAATTTGTTCATATAAAAGACATAAACAGACAAAACATTTTATGAACAGTTCATGAATAAATTCATTTTTTTGTTTATTTTTTATTAAGCTTAATAAAACAATAACGAAAAATAATTTAAAATTTATTAATTAAATGAACATAACAAAATTTATTTATATTCAATTAATTTACACATGTTATATAAATGAAAATTTTGAATCACTTTTACAAAAAGAAATATCAAAATAAAAAATACTAAAATATATAAAAAAAAAACTCTTGAATTATTTCATTTTTTTGAAATAAGCCTTTATGCTTTTTTTTTAATATGCAAACGAACTCTTATTTCAAATAAAAAATTAATTTATATTAAAATTTTATTTAAATATAAATTAAAGGTTAATAATTTATTTGGATATAAATTAAATTTAAGAATTTATTTAAATGTAAATTAAAAATTAAGAGATTATTTTGATGCAATAAAAAATATAAAAATTATAAAATTTAAGGTTTATTTTTGTTATTTAAAAAAAAATGAAAATCAGATAGGAAACAAAAGTGAGACAACTTTAAATGATAGGAAACATAAGCTAAAAACCAGTTAATCATATTAACCATTTTTCCTAGCTAAGATATCCCACTTTTACGCAAAAACCCTTTTTTTTATTATTTTTATTAAAGTAGTATCTTTATTACTAAGAAAATATGCTTGTAATCAAACCATTAACAATATAATGTAAATTTTTGCTAAGGTTCATCAATTATGCTAAGCCGTCTACCAAAATTGCAAGAAATTGAGGTGTAATGTAAGCCCACTTTTTTTGGTTAAGTTAGCGTGTTGCCCCTTCGCTTGGGGGATTTTTTTTTTAATATTTATAAACTTTTTAATTGAATTAACATTAAAAAATAATTCAAATTAATCATATTAAATAATAGCTTTATTTAAATAAATTTTTTATGAATATTATTATTTTTTCAATTATGAAAATGAACTATTTACATATTACATAATTTAAATTCATTTGCAAGTGTAATTTATATGTATTTTTTAAAAATATTTATATTATTATAAAACTGAATGTATATTTTTATTAATGTTGTAAAAATATATTAATTTTCATATTATTGAATTCTTTTGATCTTAATTGAAAAAAGAATCGCCATTTAAAATATAGTCTAAGAATGAAATTTTTTTATTATGATTAAATTATTCTTAATAAATATCAAGATTTTTATGGCACTTATTCGTATTTATTTAAATTATTTTACATAAATATTTTATTTTTATTATTTTAAATTTCATTTATGTTGAAAAAATTTTGGAAAAAATGTTGTCAATTCAATTTTGAAAATTTTTTATTAATTTAATTTATATTGGAAAAAATTTGAAAAATAGTCCTTCTTGTTTGATCAATGAACTATCTAGCTCATTTATTATTTTTTATATTTTGTTTATTTAATTTTCTAAAATAAAAATTGCAAATGAATAACAACTAAAAGGAATTGAAGAATACTATCTAATTCTCAGCTCTTTGCCTTAGTGGCTAATGAACTTTTAGAGGATATACGTAACTCTTAATTTTGAATCAAAATTTCTTTTTCTTTTATCATGAGTTGTGCCCATTTTATATTAAAAAAAAAAAACAAAACTACCTGCTTCGACTCAAATTTGATAATCCGAAATGAATTTGCATGGGTATCCAAATTGGATCAATTAATTCAAGTTGAGTCGGATTTGATGAATTTTTAAAAAAAAAATTTTTTTCTCATATTGCCTTAAATGCAGCGTTTTGTTATTCTTATAAAAACTAAAAGAATTCACTTCATTTTTTCTTTCTTCGTACCATCTGTCCTTAAAAGCAAGTACGGCAGATTTTTTTTTTTTTTTGCATTTTTGTTGGTATTTTCTTCTTTTAGAAGACATAATTTTTTGAAAAAATTCTGCAAATTTAAAAATATTTAAAATCTAAAATTTTTAATTAAATAAACTTCAAATTTTCAAAGGATTTTTGTGTGGTTTGTTTTTTGGTTCATTTTATTAATTTTATGATTTTTATTTTTTAAATTTATCATCAAATCTGCAAGAATTTGTTACGTTGTGGTTTGTAATTTATTTTTACTAATTTAACTAATTTTATATTTTAATTTTTAAAATATATATTATATTTATAATAAATAAAAATAAACATTTTATTTTAAAAAATATCATGTGACAAAAAAAATAATTTGTACAAAGTAACTATTAGAAGTGTAAACGATACATTAGTATTCGTAAGTTATTCAAATTTAACTCAAATAAAATTTTAATTCAGTTCGATTATTATCGAATTCGAGTAATTCGATTTATCGATCAAATTAAATTCGAGCATTCTTATACTAGGATCGAATAGCTTACGAGTCTAATAAAGTTTTTATATTTTAATATATTTTAATTAATTTAATTGATAAAATATCTCAAATTCGAGTATAAATAATTAAATTTTTATTGAATATAACAATCGAGCTTAATTTTATATGTTATCGAATCTAATCGAATGAATTCGAATAATTTAATTTATATCTCGATTTAAGCTCGAATTAAAAAAATAAAATTCAATAAAATTTGAATCAAATTTTAAGTCTTGAATTTAAAATTAAATTTAAATTCAAATTTAATATTGTATCGATCTTAACTCAATTGATACAATTTTAGTAACTATAAGAGAATTTTTAACTATACGTATAGATTTAAAAAATATAGTAATATTTTAAATATTGAGTTGTTGATTAGGAAAAAAGTTAAAAATATTATTTCTTTGTATGCTCTTGAACGGCCATTAGCCGTAAAAGCAGGAGATATTCACATGTCAATATCATTATCATCATACATCAATTAGAGTCAAACTTTTGCATAATTACTTGTCTGTAGCTTAAATAATAATAATTTGTTTCATTATCAATGCAACACTTGATGTGCTTTTATACAATTAATCAAGACAATGGAATATCCTGATTTTGAGCATGTATAATGCTGTAGGCCC